GCTGCGCACTTACACCCATAAATACTTAGCCCCCCACCCCAGTCAGACATCTTAACCCCCATAAATTTTATCCTAGAGCCGCCACTGTCTACTAGGCCTAAGTAAGAATAAAGATTAAGAAAACATTATTTATTTGTGTTTTTATTATTTTATATAGGCCTAGGCTAGCCTAGGCCTAGATAGGAAGTGGATACCTAGCCTAGGCCTATATTTTTAATTATTTATGTCACAGTAAACTAATCAGAAAGTATAATACATACTTCAAGTATTGAAATGCACTCCATCATAAACTAATCAGTAAAAAGAAATATTTACGTGAAATAAATAACGCATGCGCAGTCATACTTAAAAAAACTTGCATTATCGGTCACATAAATTTAACGATTCTGGTTAAATGTTTGTTAATATGACTATTATGAGTTCAACTTTCAGCTCGAAATTAGCCTCGGCCCACCCCAAGCTGCGGTGCCCAAGCTCACCACGGCACTGATTTGGCGAGGCTCTTTTGTTGACAAGTTAAATTCATGAATGTACTGTACCATGTACGAAAATCAAATCTTCACTAAACGTGAAAATGTTTATATTGTAGTCTTGTGAAGTACATTAACTTCACCAAACAAATTTTTGTAAAAACAAAGGAGTTTCTACTCGTTAAAAAGCAAGTATTGAACAACTTACACGATCAAATCAACAGCAAATCAACGCACATGGGAAATCTCTGAATTGGTTGAATGAATTGTTGTAAACAGTTTACAGTGAGGTTTGCGTTTTTTGTGAATAGGTATTTAATTATAATTTTACCATTCTTATTGGACATAATTAAATTTGCCACAGTAGTATGTATTTCAATCATTAAATAGATTATGGAATCATTGTGATAATGAGCTAGATAAGGCTATGTGTATTGTATAATCAATTTATTAAAACTATAAATCTTTTCCAGATATCACAAATCAATATGGCAAAGCTTATTCAAGCACCAACTACATTCACACATCCTGAGTGGACGCTAAATAATTGCCTTGAGTATGATAGTGCTGAAAAGCAACGGGCAAGTGCAGAGAGATTGATTGCAGAGAGTGATAGATTGATTGAAGAGACAGACAAGACAACGAAAAAGACACAAAGGGATGTAAATAAGAAATTTGGTAAGCAAACATCTGAATGTTTTTTATAGTCTGCATTGGTGAAGTGAGTCCAGTAGTGCCTAGTGAAACAGGGCAACTGTATCTATTGTTTAGAAAGTAGGACTAATTTGCCCGAAGAATTAAAAAAATTAATTGCAGCATAATTATTTCGCTAATTGTGATAAATCATTTCAATTGTTTTTTGTTAGCATAAAACTTTGATACAGTATTGCCTTTGATAACTTATGTAACCACTAGCACATACTTACTGGGGTTTTGTTGGAAGAGTTTGTTCCACTACCCACCCCCTTTTGTTTTTTAATCCTTAGAGACCATTTATTTTAAGTTTTTGAAGTAGTTTCATTCTCCATTTTGAATCCTTTTTTTTTTTTTTTTTTCAGATCAAAGAATAGATGATGTGACATTTTGGAAAGACGAATTGGACCGTAAACTAGATGATAGTAAGAAGGAGATTGATATGCTACTAGCTTACAAGACCAGATTAGAAAGCGCTTTTGAGGCATGCAAACAACCACTTGCAATTGTAAATCAGTGTCTGGCAAATAGGTAAAGCATTTGCGAGGTTTCCACAACAAAATTATTTGTATCATTGGTATCATCGTAGAGATCAGTCACAGTGAAATTTTTTTTTTATCAAATTGTGGTCCCAATTATTTTGAATATTTCAGTAATTATATTTTTGGTTTTTTAACTATAAAAGTGTTCTTCATTCAAATTTAGAGCTTTTATTCCAATTATTTATTTACTGTTATTTAAACAGAGGCTGTGGTTCCCCCAAACCAGGATTCCATATACAGTATCTAAAAATGAAAAGTTCATATCTCTTCATTAAAATTCCAAATAAAAGCTTATACTGTACTGTAATCTATGAAAATGTACCATTATTAACTCAAGTGATTTTCAACAATGTAACTCATGTTGTGGTGAGAATAAATCACTATTATATTGATTTTTCATCTATTTTTATTCTAACAGAGAAGGCCGTGTGTCAATCGATTTAGTGCATGACGATGTCCAGAAGAACCTTATTAAAGAGCGTGAAGTTATTCAAGGTGTGATGTCGCTGTTGCAGCGTACACTGGAGCAAACAACGGAGCAGATTAGGATTATGCGATCAAAGAAATACTACCTTGAGAAAGATCTGAAGGACAAATTCCAGGCGCTGAGCATTGATGGCGACTGTCGTGAACTCCGGGATGATCATTCCGGTCTCCGATCAGTCCCTGGATCAGCAAAGATTGTGGCCAAGTAAGTTTGAATTGGGTTTAATTAGTGTGAGCAACAAGGATAGCCCATGAAAGCCTAAAGATTCATTTTCAGATGGTTCCTTTTGGTAGTAATTGGGCAGTAGCCTAGGAGACAATCCCTTACTTTTTAATGTGTTGAAGGTCCCCATAAAAGACGACTACTCAACTGAAAGAAAACAGAGATATATAAGGAGCTTGCCGTGGCCAAACCAGCATTAGTGACCAAAACAAGAAAATGGACTGTTTAATATTATTCTTCACATTATTAGCTTTAAAATGATAGGTCATTTACTGAAATTTATTTACTATTGCCATTGTTATGGGTAAAAGCATAATGGCTTTATCTCTACAGATACTAAGTATACAATACTGCCACTTTCTTATGCTAATTACTCGTTGTAGTATTTAGCAAAAGTATGCTGGTTTGTGCGATGGCAATTCTCATTATGAATCATGGAGGTATCAAATGAATTTTATTATTTATTCTATTATTTTGTATGTACATGATATGTATAAACCCCCAATCACTTCTATCACTTCTATCAATCACAATATCTTCTTTTGTTTTACAGCTCTGTAACTCCCGAAAATTGGCAGGATTTCTCAAACGAGAATATCAACAAGGCTGAAAAACAAAGAAAATGTGCAGTAGATCTGCGTAGCGTAATTGACAGTATCCTGGCGACGACAGCCGATGATATGCAGCAACAAGTTAATGATACAAACCTCGCATTCACTAAGAGGATTGAGGAGACAGCATTGGCTAAGAGCAAGTTAGAATCACACCTGGCCAGGGTATGTGTCATTCGGCATTTATAATTTACAACTTCAGTAGGCCCAATCGGTCATGTGATCTTTACTGCCACTTTGTAATCAAATACAAAGAATTAAGTATTGTATAGTATAATAAGACCTGACTTGTTGTTTGGAATGCCAGTTAACTTATCATTATTGAATTTCCAAACATTATCAGAATGGTTCTAGCTGGCTTATATTACACTGTACACTCCTTAACGTTAGCGTCTCCTTGACTGTAGCAACACATTTTAAATTAAAAAAAAATCCAACCCAACTACATTAAATTGCTTAGTTAAACAGATTTCATAAATTATCGATTGAGAAAACAATTCAGATCTTTGCTAATTTATACCTTACTGCAGGATCATATTAACAGCCAATTTATGGTTCTGTGCAAAGAATTTAGAAATGGTACTATTTAATTATGTATTTTGTACATTTTATTTCCATTTATCAAAATTGTAAAATATGAAAAGAAATTCAAGATCATTTTGCTCAACAAATAATTATTAGAGACAAGAATTTGACAAAAAAAGTAATTTTTTGGTTAATGAGAGACAACAAATTAGATTAGAAAGATGATTGTGTTGGTGTTTTTTATGTAAATTTATGTCTTTGACCTCTTCAGATTCTTGGACAAATACGCGACATGGAAGGAAATATCGAGAAACTACAGAAAGCAATTGGGGACAAAACTGGACCAATGAAGTTATCCGAAACCAGACTTGATGCCCGAACTACGCGTCCAAATGTTGAACTCTGTCGTGATCCCGTCCAATACCGTCTTATCAATGAAGTTGCCGAGATTGATACAAATGTTAAACGGCTTCAAGAAACCTTAGCACAAGCAGAGATGGAGCTTAAAGGCCTAATTCGCAACCAACTTCGCTTGGAGGAAGACATTGATGTCAAGTCAAATACATTGAACATTGATGAAGCTAACTGTATGGGAATTCGCAAGAGCATCTTCATTAAAAAATTCTAGATTTCGAAATATAACCAAATATTAATTAAATTATTGCAAAATCAATTTTTTGAAACTCATCCACTTGATTGAAGTATTGATCTCAACAAAGTGTATTCTACTAGAGAAATTCTACCGCTAATAAAAATGTTATGTCAAGATAGTGAGAATGCTGGTGTGATTCTTACAAATAAACCGTCCAAATACTAGCTCAGATATGCAACTTGCTACCGTCCAACACAGAATTAGTCAAGTTTAACTCAAGTCGATTTGTACCTTGTGTCAAATATATTAAACAGCCAAAATAAACTGGAACCTGAATTCTGGGTTTGTGCATCACATTGTAGGTGTTCAATATCTTACATAGTGGCTTGCTCAAACTCAGAATGCTATACCTATAGTGTTGAATAAGGGCTTACCTTGGAAAGAATTTTCATACATGTTTTAAAGGCATTATTATCTCCACTAATAGATATGGTCTAAACATCAATACCGATATATTACAGTTCTACATACTTTAGAACTTCAGTGGTTTTAAGGAGAGTTGAATTGCATGCTGAATCCATTGCACATGGAAGCATTCCGAGTTATCATCATCTGAATTCTAAGATGTACTGTAGTGTTGCCCCAATGTACGTTGTGTATAGAATGCAGAATGGTCATGGATGAATGAATCCATCATACAGTAGGGTCATGTCATCATGCAAATCATGCGCCCTAGCCTAGTATTACCATTTTGGTGTCTGGTTCAACACAGCTATTTTTGTGTTGCACATTTTGTCTAATTAATGTACTGTGTATACAGTGTACTGAAGTATTAATGATAAATTAAATAGAAAGCAAATATAGTGTGTATAACTGACATGTCATAATAAATTTAAATAAAGTCTTGACAATATTTGTCAAATATCTGTATTTTTATTAATGTCTTTTTAATTATTTTAGTTAATATTTACTCCAACTATGGGGAGCTAGGAGTGCCCTGTAAATTATATTCATACTCTGAACATGCAACATAAATACATACTGTAGTTTTCCAGTCATAACCTCATCATTTAAGGTTTAAGCAATTTCCAAATTGTTCCACCAAGGTATAAATAAGCCTACCCCTTATTTCATAAGAGTAGGCCTAAAATAACTTTTAAAATAAGCATAGCATGTTGTAAAATTATTTTAAAATAATTCAGTCTTATTTACATAATCATCTTTCAAATAACTTGTTGCTCCAACCAGTATATATCTTTCGCTGCAATGTAAGAAGCCTTCTTTATTTCATAATGCTCCAATCATCATGTCTTCCGCTGCAGCTAAGAAGCCTTCTTTGTTTCATAATGTTCACCCTGGAGATGGTCCCCTTTTTCCTGCACATACATTTTGATATAATGCACAATTTCAAAAATAACCTAGCAACATAAGAAGAAAACAAAACAATAATTTACTTTGGAAATGGTAAACTGTTGAAAAACAATCCTACCCTAGTGGCGAATCCATAATTTTTTTTTGCCAGAGGGCATGAGAGGCAATCGAGAAACTATGGTCTGAGGGGGTTGGTTGAGGGTGTTCCCTTACCTATTTTGGAGGTCCAGGAGGCAAAGCAGATGGAATAGCCACCCCCTCACCCCATTGAGTTTTAATCTCTTATTTTACACTTAGAGATTTTTTTGGCTGCTGCCAAGAGGCAAGCACCTCTTTCAATACTGCTGGATTTGCCAATGACCCCCACTTCACTTTATACACCAGTCCACAAGAGACAACATACTTCAATCTGCCCTCAACTCTACACACATTAAGTCAATTTTGCTCATCTTTTAATGAACTCCTTTTGCATGAATTAAAATTTTTCAAGCCTCACTTGAAACTATGTTTGTTTTAGTTACCTCAACTGTAATGAGGGCAATGATCATCCATTCCAACCTGAAGGAGTGCTGTTCATTGAGGTGTGTCCGCATCAACTCCACCAGCTCCGAACAATGATTTAGCTTCTCATTTAATACCTTGAAGATGCAACAAGATATAATTTAATGAAACTATGTACAGTACTATCAGTAAGTATGAATTCAGTAGAGAAGACATACAGTTCAAACTTTTGGTAGCTTGTGATCGAAAAAAAATGTATTTTATTTATTAACTATGACTCACTACTGGGGTCTGGTTAGTCAGATCAGGTTAAATGAGTTTTCTTAACACATTTAATTTTATTTTTCTACGCATTGTGATACACATAGGCACTGACTTCCGTGTGACAATTGATAATAAAGTTGTAAAAACATACAAATATTATGAATTTGTAAAAGATGGGTTTTTTTCCAGGAGATTCTTGCTTGCTTGCTTGCAGGAGTGGGGGAAACTGTCCCGATTTTTTGGAGACTCCGGGAAACTTGGGACCCCTGCTGACTGTATATGAGAGTTTCATTAGGGTGCAGTGAAGATGTAATTAGTATTAATGTTTCAAAACATTGCAAAGTCCAATGAGAACAATAAAAATTACCTTTGTTCTTCTGGCTATACTAAGAAAATTACAGGTCTTAGTAAACAGTAGCTCTAAATCATCTCGATTCCAGTAGAAATCAGGCGAGATAAGTAGATCAGAGGTTAGGTTTATACGGTGACGTAAGCTGAACAATTCGCCAAGCTTTCGCAACACTTGCTCCTTACTCATCTTAAGTTTTTTCCCAGCTTTCAGATTCTGTTGAAATGTATAAAGGTAAATGTAGGAAAAAACCCATAACTCGCAGCGTCATGTGCTGAATTGTGTATGGGGATGGTCCATGACTACTGTAGCAGCCACAGAACGGTGTTTAGTTCACATCATTCCACAAGGACTGAACAACAGGGACTGAAATGAACCATAGGACCAAACTCTTCAAAAAGATGCAATGGGTTCTTTAAAGTGCACACAAGCCAGATGTATACACTTGACCTCCCATATTTAAGTCCATATTTAAGTCCTTATTCGAGAAGATTTGGTTCTACCAACCAATTACTGGGCAAGGAGCAATGTTAAGGCTGTAGTTAGCAGCGCCCCTGCCTTACAACTCAGTCACTCGACTCTAACAAATGTAAAACCTCAACAATAATAATATATAGAGCAAAACATCATAGGCAAAAATTCATTTAATGTCTATATACAGCAGATTATTAATTTAAATTTGGGGTAAACAGCATTTTTACAACCACATGACTGTGCCCAGAAGTGTTTCTTTCTGGAATAATTCCCCTCACAGATTCTCCTTAATATGTATTCTCTAGGGTTTTACTACTTGATAGTAATTATATATTATTTTTAATAATGATAAAGAAAAAATTTATAATATTTAAACAAATATTTTTTAACAGTGATTATCATAATAAAAAATTATGATATAAGCAAATTATCTATGTATGAATTAAATACTTACATCAGGAACCCACTCTATTGAAGCCACAAATTGATCTAAACACCATTCCCAGATAGCTAGTTTCACTTGAGACAAACAGAAACAAAAAAATAATAATACGTCACTTTTATATATTGTAGTGCATGATGGTCAAAGCCTCTTTTCGCTTTCCTATCATCGGTAGCCACAAATACACCAATATACATATACATATATAAATATAATTATAATATATACATATAATTGAAGAGGGGTAAAAATGGTATAGAATAGAAACATGTTTGTTGTCTTCTATTTTACACAAAAGTAATATAGAGTATTAGCTTGCACTGTACGCTTGCACTGGGGTTGTTTTGTTAAAATGGGCTAAATAAAATATATTTAGTATTGTCATTAGGAGCTACAGTATTATAAAAACATCATAGTTCATTTACCAGATAGTGAGAGTGCATTTGAAAATGCAAATTTTTCTAAAACAGTTTTCTCTGGATCATTGTTCTCATGTAATATTATAGTATCACCATTTGCTATTCTTGTCACATCCCTGCAATAAAAAATTACAAATCTTAATGTAAATTTATGCAAACAATTGGTGAATTTGTTGGTTGCGGTCATTTAGTTCCACTCTGGCATGTCCCTTCCAGAATACCGGTATCTCTTTTAGTCATGATGTCTGAAGAAATTTAAAAAAATACATTCATCACAAATATTTGTTTTCTCTCTGCTTACCAGTGGTGGCCCCAGAAATTTGCTGACAAGTGTCCGACCTGTCTGACAGGGGGTGCAAACCGAGGGGCCGACTAGAACCTCTATCAGGGTCCCCAAATAAAAATCACCGGTAGGCTTCACAGGGAGATGTTTTATGGCTAAGTTGGGCCACATTGAGCTTCATTAGGGATTAGCAATCAAAATAACGTTATGCGGATATGCGAATTATTATATTTGGTCCCACGACCTTGTTGTGGTGTCGAACAATGGGGATGGTGGGTGCTTCCTGCCCCCACATCCCCCCCCCATGCTAGCACAACTTCTACTGCTTACCTATCATATGTATAGCTCATCTGTTCATTCTCCCAAGTGACTAATGCAATCTCATAAGCATGGGTTTGGTGTTTTGTTATTGTCCTTATCACACCTTTAATCTACAATTTGAAAAAAAAATTAACATAAAGAAGACAGCACTTGACACTGGTTTTTAACGACTCAAGTAGAATACAGTTTATCAAATACGTATATGAGATGGTATATAATATATACATTGATAATTATCATCTGAATATCATATCACTGTATTTTTCAACAAAAGTTTTGCAAGATAAATTATAGAGGGCGCTAGACTGTATTCTAAACCAGAGCCATAGGTAGAAAGAATTGCGACATTGATCATTTAGAAGCCATTCCGTGTCCAACGTGATGCGTGTTATGTGTCCAACGCAATGTGCATTCCTATGTTCTGAATTATCAATATTGTTCTTTAAATTGAATATGAGCGAGCCCTATACAAATCTTATATTATTAATTTAATTATTTATTTATAAATATTAAAATGGTATAGGTCAGTTGGCCGCAATATATAAACTGATATGGTTTAGGCCTAAAGTTAAGAGCAAAACATAATTTTTGACAAGAAAGGCAGTTCTTTTCAGTCATAGAATAGACAAACCTTTAACAAAATTATAATTTATATGTAAATCAAATTTATTATCAAGTGCATGTGAACATGCACAAATATTCAAATTCTAAAGATAAATTCTAAATCACGCTTTTGATATTAAATAGTTATTAATTAAGCAATAACATCATAAACAGAATTAATCATGTGAAAATACTGTGTAATGTACCTAACTCATAATACTTTGCATGTGTTTATCGGGAAGATTTGGACACAAAAATGGATGGTGTTTTGTAAACCGAGGAGGGGAATATCGCAACTCTTTATATATATGCTCTGTTCTAAACAAGATACAAGATATAAGTAAAAAATAAAGTTATGAGATTTGTTGTACCATGTACAGAATCATAAATATTAAACATGTGATATAGTTAAATATATCATTAGTCTTCGAAAAATATATTGTTCTTTTTTGCGGTATATGAATTTTTTACTAAATTGAATAAAATTTTTAAAAAGAAATTATACAATCACACCTTCTAAATCCATTTTTCTAGGAATAAATACCAAATAGTACACAACCCACTATACTATTTGTATTAACAAAAACACACATACAAAATACAACAAAAATTACATTTACTTAATTATGTTACAAAGGGGAGCTATGACACAAACCAGCTGTTCAGGAACATTCCAGAAGACAACTGAACCTTCCCTAAACAGGAAGATTTCTCTTGGTTCTTCATCTTCATCGTCGGACTTCTCAAAAACCTGCATATGAAGAACATCTTGTGCATCTATTTAAACAAAAAAGTTGAGTTTAAAAAGAAAAATTAAAAAAACACATAAAACACAATTTAATTTATCTGTAGAATAAAATATTCCTTAACCAACCAATCAACTAATCAATCAAGACTTTCTTTTCAATTATTTATAGTGCTGCACCATTATATTGGAATTTATATAAATTATTGAATTATGAATAAATTATTATACTGCTCTGACAATTATAGAAAAATAAATTTCAAAAACATTCTCTGCTTCCATTTTACTGTAAATGCATATAAATAAACTTTCTAATAATATTAGTTTTTTTGTTTTATTAAATTTAATCAAATTTTGCAGTATTTGAAAATTTTATGTCAAATATGTTTCTTAAAACCATTATCAAATAATTAAAAAAATTAAATAAAATATGGTTTAAATGTTTCACAAAATCAAATATCTATACATTTTTTACCAGAAATGTTTTTTTTTTTTTAGTGTTCTAATTTTCAGATAATAGGGAAACAAATATACATTAAAAATGCTAATTTTTTTTCAAATTCATGTCAGACTAAGGTGTCAGTATATTTTTAATCTGTAAATTTTTAATGCTCCTAAACACAAAAACTGATAAAACAAACAAAACAAATGAATATGAACATCTATTTACCTTGTGGCATAAAAGCTTCTCTGAACAAACCTTGTGCTTGAAGATCGAGACTTAGATGTTCCAAGTTGTATTCTTCCGCAGTAGAAAATGCAGTCACAACTCCAAGTCCCTGAAGAAAATGTCCCAAAAATACATTAAAAAAAAAAATTATATTTATAATTGTTTTCAATGTTTTTGTGGAGAGAGGGGAGTGGGGGTCGCCAGGGGAGTGGGGGTCGCCACATTATAAACTCACCTCTGTGTCTTTTGCTAATCTGGCTGGTTTCTTTGTTCTATGTTTTGCTATCTTCATTTTCTGTCCTTTCCGATTTGCTTTATTACTTGTGCCTTTTTTAAGTTTCATGGCATAAACTATCGGTCTGTTGAGTGGATCTGTGTTGGCATTTGTTGTATTGCCCGACGTTGACTTGGAAGAAAAGTTTTGCTTTCGCACACAGCTGAGTGAATACTGATTCTTGATTAATGATAACTTTATATTTGCAAAATTTAGTACTGGTATTTTCCAGGGTATTTTATGGGGGATGATTTGATGCCTTTCATATGAGAACCTCCTTGAATAACTTGATGAATACATTTTAATACTACTTTGTAGTAGGTTTTGTTTGTGATGATTGTTCAATCTGTAACAATGCATTGATTGACTAATGGCCGTTATCCCAATTGATGTTTTCTGCCAGACTTTTGTCATCCATCTTGGTAAGACTATTGACAGATTATTCAATGAAGACGACATCTTAAATTGCATCCCATGTGCCAATACCTGAAAATAATTTTTTTTTAATTGCAACAAATTATTTCTCATACCTCAAAACAACTCCACAGCTTGAGCCTCATAAAGAGGCTGAGTTAATAGAGCATCGTTCCACCCTGCATAGCAAGTGTACATGTTGTCTGTATGAAATACCAAGCAAAACTGGAATATGAATGGAATATAAGTGAACAATCATGTCTGAACTCTGACCTGGCTGCGGCTTCCTGGGAGTTGGTTGTGATCTCAATCGCCAGTTGTACAGACTTCTGCAAGGCGTCTCTCGTACGCTGGTCAACTGGTTCCACTGACTGGATATCAATACTGGTTATAACCAGGTTGTTCTGAGGGAACAGGAATCGATCACGGACCTTCTGCTTGTCGTCAAACCCAAATACTGATGCACGGATGATTTTGGCAGAATTCTGAAGAAAGCAATTATAATAAATATAGGGTTTCCACATTGATGCTGAAGATCAGGACACAATATAAGCATAAAGTGTGACCCTGCTGAAAAATAATTAGGCTTTGACATAAATTTTTAAAATAAGGGCTGATACACACAAACAATTATTACATGTTGCTTTGCACACCTATTTTCCATGCAATTTTCTGCACAATTTTAAATTTATAAGAAAAATGCATTGGGTATATTAAACACCTGTCTCTTATACACATCTAGATGTGTATAAGAGACAGGATATATATATATATATACACACACACACAGATATAGGCCTAGCAAAATGTTATTACTGTATTACTAAATAAATTTTAGATAAAAACTTCTTCAAATACTGTAGATCGTTTATGCAAACGTGTACTGTAATTTCCTATCTTGCATTCCTTTTTATTTTAGGCACAGAAAGATGCAAAGCTGGCTAGAATGAAACAAAGACAAGAACAGTGCAAACAAATTGCAATGAAAATGGAGGCTTTATTGGAGTTGGATGCCAAACGAAAGGGGATTCCAGGAACAGAATCAGTACCTGCAGTTTCTAAACATCAAGCAGCTGCTATGATCAGGAGTGTTGCAGAAGACTTTAAAGAAATTGGAATCTCGCTGACAAAGGATGTTGCTATTACAGATAGCTAAACTGACTTTGATGTGAAAAGTAAAACTTGCTGCTTCTCCTCATGCATTTTGTAAATTTTATCAGAAAGTTTATTTTTACAAAACATGTTTATATCGCAGCAGACACAGGTGTGTTTTCTACTATGGACATTTTAATTAATGTAAATATGTAATAGCAAGACTTGTAAATATTTCTTTTTAAAATTTAAGACTTGCACTTCAGACATGATATAATACAGTATTTTGAATGATTGACTTTTTAAAATGTGTAATGTTTTTTTGTTGAAAAAAGGATATACGATTTCATTGCTAAGACCATGATATATATACCTCTCACAGGGGCAGATCCAAAATGTTTTTAAACGGGGGATGGGGGCCACAACATTCTCAGAATAGATAAACGAGTAGTGTGTATTTTCAATACATAACATTGATATGCCTTGAAATTTAGTGGAAAAGTGGGAGGGGTTCCCCTACTGGATCCGCACCTGTCTCAATCTCATGGGTGTGGTCATGCCTTGTTGTAATAGGACCAGAGGGACCTAACTGTGTTTGAAAGAGGTTATACTCATCAATTAAACTATCCTGAAGCACTTACTACGAATGAGAGGGTTTAGACTACAAAACACATACAACAAAACACAAGTATTAATACTTCTCTTGAGTATATTTTTTAAATTTGGGCCCTCACAATTGGTCTAAACTCAAGAAATTTGTAATGCAAAATAATACAAACAATATATGTACAGAATTCATATAGTATTATTAGAACAATGATAATAAATATCTGTATAGAACACTTACTTTGGATCATGTGGAAAACATATTTCCATTTTTTTTTCTAAATTGATACTTTATTACTAAAAACTCATTAATTCAAACTTCTGTAATATCAATACACAGGCCTGTCAATGCATAATTCATCTGCCTGCATTTTATATTATATAGATATATAAAATATATTGTATTTATTCTTTAACAGCAATTTTAATAAACATTATTTCTGTTATAATATATGGCACAATTTCACATTTAAATGTTCATGACTGTATTAAAATAGGAATTTAATTACAGTATTACAAAATCAAAATTTTCTCAATCATTTGATAAAACAAATTTATCTTCCTTTTATATATAAATGTTATATAATCCATTTTCATATTGACCAAAAACATCCTACAAATATGGAGACCTAAAAAGCAATCATCATAAACAAAATTAACCAATCTACAACTGTTTTTGATATCATCCTTGATAATTTTATCTACAAATATAAAGTTCATTTTTACAAACACCAAACTAACAAAACTAATAAATTTATCTTTTAATACAGCAATTTAGCACAGTTAGCCGATTTTTTAATAAGTGTTTTATTTCCTTTCCAATAAAAATCTAATGAATTTATAAAACACCCATTGGTAAAACATAATTCAAATGTTCCTTTCCAATACATCTAGAAATATATTTTATTGCCATCAATTGCTGTTAAAAAAGCTTTGAACCTAATTGTTTGATGGTGGCGCAAGAGCACCAACAAGTCCGTTGGCAGTATTGAAGAGGTTGATGGGGCTGGTACCATCTGTAATCAAGGTAGACTTGAGGCCAAGAGATTGCAGCAACTTCACCTGCATCTCTGGTCCAGATGTTGCAATGGCCCTGATGGTATCTGCACCGATGGACGACACCATGCTATCGAATTTAGCCGTCTCGATGTCGCTCATTTCTTTAGTTTTGCTGATTTCCATCTCGTTCTGCTGGCTGATGTACTTATTCTCTGCCTCTCTCGCAACTGTCAGTTGTTCGAGTTCTGATTGCTGTAAGATACAATGTAAATGAAGTTATGTTATTTGATGACTGTGTAACACGTAAACCTGTGTCCACACTAAAATTAATATGTGGCAAAGACAAGCCAAACCAGTCACTCGTCGCAAATCGTGTTTGAGAGAAAATGGCAAAAAACATGCTGGAATGTCAAATTTTTAAAAATCTATTTTATTGCACTAAACTAACCTTTATATATCTACACATCATTCATGCTGTTATTTTCCCAATTTTCAATGTTAAAACAATACTTTTTAAGGATTTAAAGATAGTTTCTGCATGAGAAATGCCTGAAATCATAACCTTTGATGGCTAATTTCTCATATATTGTTCTTTAAACAGCTGTGTGGTTAAACGCATGTAACTATGATTTTTTTACCATTTTATATATATTATTTTACTCTCTAACACTGTATTAATAACTCAAAATCGATTTTTGCGACGAGTGACTGATTTGGCTTGTCTTTGCCACATATGTTATCTGTGATTTCCTCATATTATGGCACAATAATGTCATATCGAAAGCCAGCCACTCATTCCACCCAACAGTTGTCAGCCAATGCAATTCTATGAGATTAGTAGAAGCAATATATAAATAAAAAAACAAGAATTGTTCATATTAATGACAAATTAATGCCTGTTAATGTATAAAGTAAAGGCCTGTTTATACTTACAACGGTAACGATAACGATAAAATGCTATAAAGCAATTGTTCATAGAGAAAATAAAAGAAGTTTTCACACTAGCACGATTCGATAACAATTTATCGTGTATACGAAAATATTTTTTTATCGTACACATGATAAATCGTTATCAAAGCGTGCTATTGTGAAAACCTCTTTCATTTCTTTTATTTTCTATAGGAACAATTGCTTTTTAGCATTTTATAATTATCGTTGCTAGTATAAACAGGCCTTTAACTTAGTTTGCCATTTACTGCCATTCATTTTCTATTATTTTTTTCACATTTGAACAAAAAGGTAGGGGTGCCCAGGCACCTCCTTGAAATACGCCATTGACAAGGAACACAATTTTTGAGCGTTACTGAAATTATTTCCAGTCATGCAGGTTCAAAAGGTTCCTAATTTCACCACACACAAGACAATAACTTCAGTTGCAAGTCTGTTTACTCGTGTGCAGCAGGCTCTAAGCTGCTTTACTTACTTGGACAAAATGCCAGTTAGAAGAATTTTGTTAACTTACAGATTCAATTTTAGCAGCCTCTGCCTTCAGCTTGGCCTGCTCAACAGCTGCCTCGCCTTCAATTCTAGCAGCCTCAGCACGGGACTGAGCCTCAGCCTTTGCCTGTCCAGTGCTCTCAACAGCTGCACTATTGGCCTGTAGCTCCAGCAGTTCCTTGCGTGCTTTCTCAGCTTCAGCTTCGTCCAAAATCTTTTGACGCTCTAGACGACCCTTTGCCTCCTGCTCAAGTCTTTCAGCTTCGTGTCTAAATGTACCGAACAATATCAAATAGATCAATTAAAAATTCAATAATGTAGTAGTACTCTGACAGACAGCCAATATACAATGCATTATGCATGCACTTTCACACACACATATTATGTAAAATGGCAAATACATTCTAAACTGATTGTTGGGAGGGTAAAGACATCTTCAGCTTATATATTGATTAGAATAAGGCCATGTATGAATAATGGTTGTTAAATTATCTAGCTGAACAAGAGGAAGTCTGTTGATCACTCCACAACAGTAAACAGTGCTACAGGTGGTTGCCTTCCAATCTTAGCATCTGGTTTTCAAACATTGTCAGACTCCCAAATTATTTCTCATACCTCAAAACAACTCCACAGCTTGAGCCTCATAAAGAGGCTGAGTTAATAGAGCATCGTTCTACCCTGCATAGCAAGTGTACATGTTGTCTGTATGAAATACCAAGCAAAACTGGAATATGAATGGAATATAAGTGAACAATCATGTCTGAACTCTGACCTGGCTGCGGCTTCCTGGGAGTTGGTTGTGATCTCAATCGCCAGTTGTACAGACTTCTGCAAAGCGTCTCTGGTACGCTGGTCAACTGGTTCCACTGACTGGATATCAATACTGGTTATAACCAGGTTGTTCTGAGGGAACAGGAATCGATCACGGACCTTCTGCTTGTCGTCAAACCCAAATACTGATGCACGGATGATTTTGGCAGAATTCTGAAGAAAGCAATTATAATAAATATAGGGTTTCCACATTGATGCTGAAGATCAGGACACAATATAAGCATAAAGTGTGACCCTGCTGAAAAATAATTAGGCTTTGACATAAATTTTTAAAATAAGGGCTGATACACACAAACAATTATTACATGTTGCTTTGCACACCTATTTTCCATGCAATTTTCTGCACAATTTTAAATTTATAAGAAAAATGCATTGGGTATATTAAACACTGTACAGACCAACAGCCATAAAATGTAGAAAATAATTAGACATATACCTTGACCTCTGACATAGTCATGGTGACTTGAAACAAGATGGTATAATAATGATTGAAATTCATATTACAAAATCTATATTCCTGAACTGTAACACATTTCAGATTTCAACAATTATTCTATAATTTTACAACTTACTGGATAAAAATTAATCACATTAAAAACTCAAGAAACTTGTTGATGGTGACCTTACAATTATTAGTTGTTGAGTATACTACGCTTGCACAGATATACTCTATGATGTGGTAGTGGAATTTTTTTGTAAAATGGAATGTGTTATGGTTGATGGAATTTTACTGTAAACTGGAACGTGTTAAGGTTCATTTCATTTTACAGGCATGCCAAGTACAGTGTGAATGTCGTTTTATACAGAAGTTGGTAATTAGTCCCATGTTTTGACAGATGACCAACTGCTGATGATTAGCACCTTATCCGATAGAGTAATTTTGACCTAGTTTCTGCAGTATACTCGTGCACCTATCGGGCGCGTATTTCTTTTATTTACCTTGTGAAAATCATCAAACTGGACACCGGCCACAGCACCTCTGATTCGAGAGGCAATAGCCTTGCAAGCGTCTCCGACAAAGTCTGGCACGCTGAACAATTTAGCTGCATCATTGTCATCATTCTTATCATTGACTTCAAAATGCCTGATAAATGAAATACATTGCTATTAACATTACAAATTGTATACATATACCATGTAGGCAATTTTAGCTGAGGGAATCGGGTTCAGTGTTCGAAATTCATACACAATTAGACAATCATATCGACAAATTGCATAAATAATAAAATAACAGTAAATGAAAATACTGTACTATATTTATAATTATTATCAGTTACTATATTTTGTATGTGAAATTTAATTATATAATTTAAGAGTGTTTGGCCCAGCAGCTGAGATTTGAAGTTGTCCCCTGGTTTGCTGTGTCCTTCGGCAAGTGAAATTATTAAAATTTGTTGCCTCTATCCAACAGGAGTTGTTTCTCAACCTAGAGGTCAAGGATCAATCCTTCGGGAATTTTGCTTGTGTCCTTAGAAAAGGCAGTTTACCTACAGCTGTCTCTCTCCACCCAGGGGTACAAGTGGCTACTTGGTAGGTTCAAACACAAAATGCGCTGATTACAGCTGCAACATTATGGAATTCTCCCCAGGGAGCTGAGTATGTGTTCCATATTATGTGCTTGATCCAATGACCGGGGGTATAAATTAAGCGCTTAGAGCCCTTGTTGGCATTAGGCACTATATAAGCCTAACATATTATATTTTATATCACATCATATACATACAAATGTCTGACAATGAATTAAACTAGAATTTCCAGTAGAAATACTCCCCTGGACATGTTTGATCCAGTGCCTGGTGTTATAATATGAAAGTCATAGAGGCTGTGGTAATATGTATCATTACGATCACATATTCACTAAAGAATTAACTTTGAGAGGATGATGGCAATGAATATTTATGTAAAACCTACCAGTTATAAGACAGCTGGAGCTGTAGCCTAGCATGATCTGCTGTCTCTATAACGATGATGTCTGTGCAAAAATCAGGTCCCAGCAACAGACACAAGGATTTGATGACGTTTGGTCTCTTTGGCTTTCCTCCCGACAGACTCAGTTGAGTAAACTGCTCATCAGGACCAAGCATCACCAGCTCTGGTCCAAACACAACTCTATATAAAGAATAACACTGTTACAACACTAAACAATTTGAAAGACAATGTAGGTATGGAGGTAAAAGGATTCCAGAGTTCCATAATAATAATAATATATATATCAGTTATTCCTAGCATCTTTGAAGAAACTATTTGAACAAGAAAAAATGCAGAAATAAAATAGTGTAATTAACTTTAGTTCAGAAAGAATCATTAATACTGTATTCATGAGTTTAATTTTTTTCATGTGTTTATACAATAAGAATTAACTATTGGTATTTTAGGCTATAGTATAAATACTAAAATTAAAAATGGGTTAAATTCTTATTATAGCAAAAAAGAAAAAAAATCTATAGATGAAAAAATTGGCTGAGTTTACATAAGGATAGTTACATTCAGCTGCTAATTTATTTACTTATTTATTTGAGCATATTTAAAGAGGGTGAACCATCCAGCAGAAGATAATCATAGATAAAGATGTGATCAATTTTACTGCAGTTTTTGAATTGAAATTTCAATTGTGGACCCCCAGACCCCACTCCTTTAATGCAGACTTACAAGCCTAGGATACACATTCAGCCTCAGAATTTTTTTTATCTCGATCTCGGGTATGACATATAATACATAAACAAAAAGCCTGACAAAAAACATACCTGGCTTTCTTCTCCTTGTAATCATATATCTGTACAGCTGCATTATGGGGAACACGAAGGGTGACCACCTTTGTCTTCTCTCTCTCTGCGACCACTGGTGCGCCCCGAGAACCACGATCAGCAATAGGGTCTTTCATACTCATCAGTAGATTTTCAACAGCTGGTGACAGTTCTTTACACCAAAGTTCCTCATCCTGGTTTAGCATGTAAGTAATTCCGGTAATAGCACGTACCTTAAGAAGACAATAAGTAAGATAAAAAAAAAATGACATTGGTTAACCTATATTAAAATTGGTATAAATTTCAAACAGTTTCAAAAGAAAAGATCTGCTGGGCCCAGTAAATACTTGAATGTCAGGTAATTTTGGAAACACTGGGTCGACGCTCTCAAATTGTTATATTGTCATAGGTTTGAATTCCACTCTTTGTTTACAGTGTCAGGTGCAGAACCCAAATCTGCTCTGTTAGTTTAGAACTCTAAACCGTACACTAACTTTATGCAATAACATTCCATCAGTTAGATCCCCTATTACAACTATAACTCCCTCCCACCACTGGCTGATATATATTCAACTTACCTTTCCTGTCTTTGTGTCCCTCACATAGATACCTTCGTTCTCATCCAATGGGATTGCCTTCCTTTTGGTCAGTACCTCCACTTCCACGGGTGGCACATATTCCATTGGTCCACGCATCATCCATTTATCACCCGGCTTGCGTTCACAATCCTTCTATAAATACAACTGAAATCTCAGTACCAAGACTACTAAAAGTTTAATTAGCCTTCAATTAATGAATTAAAACAAGAAAATACATAATAAAATTTTTATATTTTTGGATGGACCAGGGCTTTTAAACTGATTAATTTAAGAAGTTTTGTACCAAAAGGTATATAAATCAGCAAAAAAATAATTAGACTTTTATATGTGTTCATTAAAAGTTGATTATCTATTTAAATGAGTTAAACAAAGTTTTAATTACATTTTTGGAAGATTTTCTATAGTATCTGTCTAGATAAGTACCCTCCTTCGAGATCCCTCTAACAATCTTCAAGCTATTAACTAAAGCTAACCCTCAATGTAAAGATCGAAAACTCTGAGAAAACCCCAAATTTTCAGGTCCCAAAGATAGTCTCAAATGACAGTGCAAACTGTATTAGATCTTCTTCCCTGCAAAAGCAAAACCTAAAGTCCTTATCAAATTATTTTGTCAGTGAATTAGAATGGATTATTTTTGGACAATAGTAAAAAAAAAATTTTAGGGAGAATTTTGGCGATTTGGCAACTTACCGCAAGGTTGTCCTTAAATGCTTCCTTTGCCCGCAAGATAATGCCCTCATCTTCTCCAAGAACAAACACGTTTTGAATTCCTTTCTCAAGCTTTTCACCAGGCATCATGAAAAAAGATTTTTCTCCCTGAAACAAAAAATAAAAGAATATTATCTGAACTCTTTATATAATGTAATACTGAACTCCCAAAATTATTTTTTATTACAAATAATTGTTAATCAGAAACTAAAATAAATATAATATATAATGATTAATAATTACTAGTATTTTGTATTTAGGTTTAAAATTTAAGGTAACTAGTCGATTACATACCTTGACAAGTTTCTTTTGTCCGAGCTGTGGCTTACCATTGTCACCAACTGGGTCCAAGATCACACAGTATTGTCGATTATTTAGGGTAATGATATCCTTCAAGCCAACAACCTGTAAAGGAGTAATATTAATATTCATTAATCTCTAATAATTAGTATTATAAATACAAATAAATAAATATTAATATTCATTTATATCTCTAATAAATTATAAATATAAATATATAAATATTAATATTCTTCAATATCTCTAATAATTACTATTAAAAATATAAATATTAATTAATATCTCTAATTACTTTATAAATATAAATAAATATTACTATTATAAGTAAAAATAAATAAATATTAATATTCATTATCTCTAATAATTACTATTATAAATATAAATAAGTATTAATATTGAATATTATCTCTAATTATTACTAATATAAATATAAATAAATGTTAATATTCATTAATATCTCTAATAGTTACTGTAATAAATTTTAATAAATAAATATTATTATTCATTAATATTTGTAATAATTACTATCAAAAATGTTGTATATGATAGTTAACTTTCTAAAACATAGTAATTGTTCAAGTATGTATATTAATTCAAATGTCTGTGCTCTATGGGCTTTATTGATATTGTATTTTCACTTTCTTTTTAAAAAATTGTACTCTTACGAAACAAATTGATTTAAATTTAATAAGCAAACACCATTGTCATTTCGTTATCATCGAAGCGTCCCCATGGTCTGTAACTATAAGAGTGACGTGACGTGACCTGATCTGACATAACCACACAGGATGTGAAAAAAAGTCTCCTCTTTGTAAGGAATCGTTCCAGTAATGCTCTAATTATGTACGCATTATTACTTTCCTATCATACCAGGCACAAATTTACCTCCTGTGTGGAGACAAGTAATGCAGGTAAAGTGACATACTCAAGGGCACAAACAAGAGGTTTAACAATTGACAGCCTAAAGCCACATTGCTGCTTTCCAAAAGGACGTTTTTGATTGATGTGTAACCCACCTCTTCGTAGACATCAGGAATGTGTGCCTCGTTGTCTTCCATCTTCACCAACCATTCTTCACCATTCTTTCTCGTCACACCTTTGGCATCAGTAAATGTACGGTTGGCACGCAGGTGAAGTGCTTTCTGTTTTAAAATGAAGAACAAACAATTGATAACACAAATTTTGAATAATAATTAATCAAATTAGAGATTTGATTAATTTTACTGATTAATGACACTGTTTAAATTCACCAACAAAGTTTTATTTTCTCCTCAGTCTTGATGTTTTTTCGCAAAACTATTTGCTAAATAAGAAAATAAATTAAATATTTATCTTTTTTCCACCCTCCTCTGACGATCTAAGTTCGCGAAACAAGGTATAAAAAAGTCTAGTGTAACTAGATGATTTCATGAAGTGTTTAACAATGTACTTTTATACACTTTAACTGCTATTAACTTATAAATTGTCATCCATTCACACTCATAACAATTTAATCAATTTTAATGTACAGTTTGATCTATAATGGTAATATAAAAAGCACACATTCACACTTGCAAAAAATTAAAAAAATTTCTATCTGTCACATAATTCAATTTCAGTTCAGGATGTGGCCATAAATATTGTGACCCTGAGAATGATAATTTCCTCTGACACTGCAGTGATACAGACCCGAATACAGGATGAATAAAGGTTCACTTGGATGTCTTTATGCAACCACACTTCCTCTCAACAGTTAGTGTCACATTCACATACGTTTTTTGGTGAGGAAAACAAAATTAAAACTGCAATTGCGAAAATAAAAACTAACATTTTTGTTGTGCAAAATTTATTATATTTATATTTACAGTTTTTTGATGAATTGCCTAAGTTCTTTACCTATATGTGGTATTGACAATTGTGAAATTTAGCAATAATATTTTAATATTTCTACATTTCTATGTAATTTAGCCTACACAGCAATTTGTTTTAATCAAATTTAGATACTATCACAAATTTATATCATAAATGTTAATGTTCTACATACCCCATGCAAAATATTAATGTAACAGGTACATTCTCCTCAATCAGTTTAAAGTTCTATTTCTAATCCTCAACATAATTATTTCTTTTAAATCATGGAAATAAGATACTTTTCCATGTTGTATACCATTACCATGGTTACCAATCACTATAATATAAATTATCACAAACCTTCTCAGTAAGCACATAAGCATTCACAACATCAACGACCTCCTCGTATGCGCCTGGCAAGTACGCACCAACTTTCTTAACAAGCCATTCCTCCCCCGTGACCCTCGCATTACCCTCACGGTCTTCGGTCTCCTTGCGAGCACGTAGCTTAATAGCCTGGTTGGGCTTGATGATAGTTGCCCTGACAGTCTCGTCTACAACTACCTCCTTGCGTGGGATATATGTACCAGGCCCTTCAAAGAGCCATTCATCGCCAGCAACTCTCTTCTCTCCGCTGGGGTCTTCATAGTCCAAGACAGCCCTCAGGCGAAGAGCGCAATTGGCTGGCACAACTTTCAGAGGACTAACTGCCTGTTGGAACAAAATATAACAACGTTGTCATAATAAAGTACTTCAAAATTTGCAATCTATTTTCCCACAAGGAATTAATTAAAATCATGATCACAATTCCTCTCAAGGACTATGTACCTGTTTCAGGACCTCTCCAGGGAACAGAGGAAATGGATCTTGAGCTAGACGGATTTCCTGGTCAGCGTGGTTGAGTTTGACCTGTCCATGCTTGTCCAGTACGACAGCACCGTCTTTGTCCTTCTGAGAGGGATTCTCAATGATGCAATAATTCCTTGGTGGCACCATAATCATCTTCTGTGGCCCAAATATCACCCTGTGTTTCAAAATCCAACAAAATATTTGTAATGATTTTTCTTTCAATTTAATCTTTCAAAAAATAATTATTTTATATAAGAAATAATTGTTGTAAGATACAGTGTTTGTGTTGAGTGACCAAGTTGAGTGGTTGAGCAGTAACGCAAGAATGCTGCTAACTACAGCCTTAACATCATCACTGGTTCGAGCCAGTCCTAGCCCAGGGTTCAGTTGGCAGAACCCAGTCTTCTCGGATAAGGACTTAAATGAAGCTACTATACAGTAAGTGCCTCTTTACGGTCATGCATCATGTATGCAATTATATAATTATTATAATTATATAATTATAATTATTATTATAATTATAATTATTATAATTATTATTATAATTATAATTTTTATTATAATTATATAATTATTGTATGTATGCAATTTAGCCCAATGACACTGTGAGTTCTGGATTATTCTCCAACGTCAAATTAAACAATTAAATCACTTGCTTTATAAATTAAGTTAAATGCTTTGCTAATTAAAGGTTAGATAGAGAGAATGCTTTTCTTGCCAATCACTCACATACCATGCTTTTTCATAGACCTTCAATAAAGACTGTAAATAAGCAAAAGCTGAATTATACAGTTATGTACAGTATAAGTACAGCACTTTAATAGAAGCATATGAACAATTAAACACTTTGAGAGTTTTCAGATTCTATTAAAAATCCAGTATTAGGAAATGTACAAAATGTTTGTTAAGAAATTGTTTCTTATTGATTAATTATTAAAGAATTACAGGTACTAACCTTTCGTGATCCTGTCTTATGTAAGTCCTGGGTCCGATCTCCACCCTAGTCACATTGCTGTTTTGGTCTAGTACATGAACGTAATAGTAAGGGGGAATGCGGTAGATGGAGTCATCACTTCCAGCGGTTGTACGTTTGCCTTTTTCCATATTTTATTCCAGAAACTGTGAATATTAAAAGGCGAAAAATAAGCTTGTTTAACTTTCAAATCAATAAAATAAAAGAGAATGTTCAACCTTGTAGTAATGAGTGCCCTTACGTGAACAACTTGAACTGGGCAATTTGTTTATACATTTTTTTGACTTTGTATCCTAACAATTATTTTCATTTTCATGTACTGCCTTCAGGGATGTAATTATGGTAGGAGGAGTTGGGCGGGGCCACCCAACTTTGAAGTTTTCCACCCAGTCTACAGCTAATTTCATAGCCCTCCACCCACCTTTATTAACCCTCTTGCACATATCGTTAAAACACTCTCTTAGAGTTTATGTTATCACCCACCCACCCTCAAAATGTATACCACCAATCCCTAGTTTTCTACAGCTACAGTACAACCCTGAACCTGGACAACTTTAACTAGGCAATTTGTTTACACATTTTTGACTATGTATCCTAACAATTATTTTCATTTGCATGAACTGCCTTGGGCATAAAAATGATCATAATTGTTCCAAGCAAGTGTATTTTTTTTTACTACTATTTAACAATTAGTTTCACGTGTACTGCATTGGGGACCAAAGTTTAGTGCACATTAAAGCCCCATTCCTGGCAAAATTTCATTTTCAAAAAGTTTTTTTCAGAACAATTTGCATGCATTACTCTAATTATTTATATACCATAAAAAAAAAATGCCATGAATTTTAGATTTACACTAAAGGAGAAAAAAAAATGATAAGTAGAGACTATTTCTCATAGGAGATTACCATTTTCTCCACGACTTTTTCGTTACTAGTGTAGGCAAATTCAGAGGTTGCAGATCACACAAGCTGGAATGCTCTCGCCAGTTGCTTTTTGTGTATACTTTATGAAGTCAAGCGTTCGCGAAACCGCCGCATTCTTTATTTTTTATCTTGCCCACAAATGCCATGAACTCTAATGATAAGATATTTTAATTCATCCCACAATGATTAAATAAAAATATTAATTAATCTGTTTTACTGTTCCTGTTTACATCACCGATACAATTGTGAGCAATAAATAAAGTGTGCCCACCCTATGAGATTAGTTTTTGTACCGCGCATCTTGCACACTGTGTTCGATCAATTAGGTTTGAGGTAAGTTTGTTTAATTGTTAAAATCTCAGTTAATATTTTTTAACAAGTTTGAAATAATTCCAATAAAATATTATAATATATGTATAACACCAGAAACAGAAATTAACACGTCGGCCATTTTTTATGTCTGATAACAGAACCTAAATAGAGGTGTTGCTAGGCTAATTTTTCCGGTGCCTAAAATATTTCGATAGACCTATCGCAAAATGAAACATAAAAAAAATCATCCTCTATTATTTTTTGAATGGATTGGGAAACAAAAAATAAAATTTGAGTCTTATTTTGCATTTTTTTCATGTTTAGGAATTGTCTAAATTCAGTTAAACTAGCAATTTCATAATATAAATTTTTCTAACATACCGGTATATAGAAATCAGATTTTTCTTTAAAAATGAAGTTTTGCCAGGAATGGGGCTTTAATATGCTTGTGCAGTATAATATATAACAAAATATTTTCTAGTTGCAGGTATTAAAAAAAAACAGAACAAAAAAGATGTTTTGCATTTAACACAAAACAATATTTACACAAGAATATTATTGTTCAAATCTAAAATTAAGTACAGGTTTTTAAAAAAAATACCTGAATTGTTTCATTCACAAGAGATAGTTTCTGTAGTGTCAGGTAATACTTCCTATTAATCATATTTTGAAACCTTTCATTTTCTGATGTATTTTCCATTAGGATACAATCAAACAAATTATCCTTGATATCTAATTCCTATTTCATTTCACCCATAGCCTAGCTGTGAGATGAATAGGACCATGCTTCACTGCAATACTACAATCTGTAATCTATATAAACGAACGGCATTGTTGCATAGTATACATGACGCTTTCATTACCCTAGAGCAGTGAATGAGAGTCAATAACTTCATTTAAATATTGCTATGGCAGCAATATTCTTTAAAATAATAAAACAGCTTGAGGAGGGCTAAGATATAAGGAAAATATTTAATTGTTGCATTTTTTAATATAAAAAACTTATATTTGCATGAGTGTGTTTTACATGGTAATACGTATCCAATAAATAGAGCATATTTTTTGTCTGGTTTTTATATGACATTGATGACGTCTAGATAATTAATATTCTTTCCAATGCAACTGTTTTCCAACTAAAAATTGTAAAATTTTTGGTACTAATTTTATGAAAATATTACTGCACAAATTTATTTAAATAAATACCAATAATTATTATTTTATAAACTTGAATATTATGCAGAAAATATTACATTGGAACAGTATGTATACTTAGGCCTATGCTTCATTTTAACAACCAAAGGAATATCACTAGGCCTAGGCCTAGCTAGGAGGGCAAAATTTTTTGTCTCAAAATGATGGTAAAATCATCATTGGATACTTTTATAGACTTTAGTTAGTACAACAACATAGGCTGTAGTGAGGCTAGGCCTACCTTTAAAAGCAGGGGTGGATCCAGGGGAGGCCCAAAAAAAAAAGGGAGAGAGAGAGAGAGAGGGGGGGGGGGGGGGAGATAGAGAACAAAGAAAAAAGAGAAAAGATCATATCTAGGCCTATTTATTATTTATTACTATAGTACTTAAGTTGGTGTTGGTTTTTGTTGATTACGCTGGCGCGCATCAACAAGGCTCGTGGTGAACATGTGGTCACTAAATGATAAAATAAAAGTACAATCTTTTGGTATAGTTACTGTACATTGGTATTTGCGAATTTTATTTATGAGCATATAATCAAAGAGTATAAATAGAACAAGAGAGCAAAGTCCCGTTCGTAAAAACGTCACACCTGTGTAGGACGCCCACTAACGGTTGTATATTAATTTTTTACCATAGAGCACGATCGAAGCACGCCCGCTATGAACTCAGTAAGTAGAAAACTTTTAAAACTCTGTGCACGTATAACATATACGCGGGTGAACGTCACGCATGAGCGGTTCAATGCGCGTGTGCAGACGTACAGCTAGCAGTATGGCATTAAGGTGTTCAGCTTTTAATTGTTATAATAACAGCCAAAAAACCCCAAATTGCTCCTTCTTTCATTTCCCTAAAGAAAAAGAGCGGTGAGTACAAAGCCGACTAAAGTAGTATTAGCCGACTGCTAAGCTGCTCTCTCAATTGACTTACTCTTGCATAAGTTATAAGAGTCTAACCGCATAGTACGCTGGTTTATAATAATAACAATTATTATTTTTATTATTATTATTATTATTATTATTATTATTATTATTATTATTATTATTATTATTATCATTATTGTTATTATTATTGTTTATTATTATTATTATTATTATTACTATTATTATCATAATTTTTATTATTAAAAATCGTTGTAAAAAAGTTTGTAAACAAGCAAATTTGATTTTCCAAAACCTTGGTTATGAATTTTTGCATACACGATATGTGGCTAATGCTTGAAACCATTATTGGATGTTTATTAAAGTACTACACTAGAATTTTATTATTTCCTCCAATAAAATTTCACGAAATGATGTTTGCCCACATGACGTGTTATATAGTACTAAATGCTCAGTACAATTCAAATACTTGATAAAAAATCACGGTTGTTTCAGATAGGAATCAAACCCACGACTGATTTATTACAATTAATATGTTTAAAATATATTTGAAAATTTAAAAAAATGAATTTAAGAGCATTGATAAAGCTATGTTGAATATATGCTATATATGCAGACAGATTGATGCTAATTGAATCTGAAAATATTATAATTGTAACTATTAATATTATCATTAATATTTTTTGAATATCATATTTGATAAATAAAATGGAAAAAAATGGATAGAAGAGCATGACTACTCGTAAGTTATTAATATTGTCATTGTTGTTATTAATATTGTTATAGCTTATATATTATATTTACTATATAATTGTTTGATGGCACAAATAAAATATATTGCTCTCTTATATACTGACCACCTTTGCATTCATATTAGTTTGATTGTGTAAACTGCATAAGAAGGAATGAGAATTTATAATGGCTAAAAACATAATGATGATGATGATGATGATAAATATATTTTTAATAATAATAATAATAATAATGAATAATAATAATAATATTAATAATAATAATTCATTTGTATAATAAACTCGCTGTTTGTGTAAAGTATTAAAAATAGGTTTCTCCAATATCTATTGCAAGCATTATATTATGTTTTTCTTACACATATTGTTATTTGCACAGCATTGTATGTATAAATTCTTTCAACTATCATGGAGGGGAAAAATTTCCTCCATGCAACTATCATAGGCCCTACACTATGTTTATCATCTTATGTTTACATAGATCTACTTTAGGTCAGCTTTATACAAGCGCAAATACCGCCCTCTACAAAAGTACTATATCTTGTGGAGAACAGATAAACAGATAAGCCGAACGTGCACGGTGGAGTACTGGGTAATAAAACACATACAAGCGTTAGTTGGCGTCCTACACTAGCTGCGTAGGGCGTATCGTTTTTTTACGCTCTCAATGAGCGTTGTTGGCTCTCTTGTTCTATTTATACTCTTTGATATAATCAATTAATGACAACATAATATGCAACATAATAATATATAATAATATATCGCACCTACAACAGTCATTAGAGTCATTTGGCAGAAAACATGTTTACGAATTATCAAATATATTTATCACGACTCCATAGCAATTTAGCAACACGATCTAATCCTTTAGATTAGAATGCCGTGTACGACTGTCTTAGTGTTACTTTTCTCAAAAAATTTCCTAATATTAGGAGGGGCACCCCACCCTCGGTGCTTCGCACCGAGTGGCCGCACCGAGTGATGCCCCCACCCCCAAATTTCATCCTAGATCCGCCCCTGAAAAGGTATAGGACTAGATTAGGCCTAGCCTAGACCTAGAGTATAACACTGTCCCCCTCCTAGATAACTTTAGTGAAGTTTCTATGCTGTACTTTACCGTATATTCAACAGATCACAAGCAAATTCAATCCCATACAACCCAGGCCTAGCCGTCTTTTCCCTGAGAAGTGTTGTTGCTGGAGTGCAGTAAGTGTAGTGCTTTCGGTAACCACTACAAATTCCTTCATATATAGGCTATGCTAAGCTGACGAAACTGTGGTGCAATCAATCCCCTGGAAAACAGCTTACGTCTGCACTCCTGAGTCATTCGATACACAGTCACAGTATCAGTATCGCGGTGTGGACTAACCTGGTTGGCCCACGTAAAAGATCACGTCATTTTTAAAAAATTTTACATGTATCTTGATCTTTTTTTTTATTAATTTAACAACTAATTAAATATCATATATCTTTATACTTATCATTAATTAAATCTTACCGTAATTGTCTCTAATTCAAGAAAAAGAAATGTTCTAAAGGCCACCGAGGTCCGTACATTCACCGAACACAACAAGCAAAGCAACTTTCACATGATGGCGCAACGCCAGGCCTCCAGGTTTACCTAACCTTGATGCTAATTATCAATAAGGGGCGTTGACCACTATTCACCAATCAGTGCGCGAAATAATTACGTCATATCTATTGCTTGAAAAATGATGCGAGTGAATTTGGTAGAGGGCGATGTTAAAGTCTTTATTGTCTTGTCATCAGATTTCCAAAGATTGGGAAAAATCATTAAAAGCTTACTTTAATGATAAAGAAAGCTGTTACCTTCCAACAAAAATCAAATCGAAAATAGTTTTCAGAGACATTTTGCTGCAAATACCTTTATAAAAATTTATACCAGGGGTAACTCAGGTACGGTACGGTCTACTGCTAGCTGTAGGCCTAGGCTACAGCCTATCATCATACTTTCCGTCCGTTAATCGACGACATATTATTTTCTTATTCAAATTTCCAATATGATCATTAGTAACAGGCCTACAGTAATTAATCTAATATGAAATTTATTAGATGGAAAGTATATTTTGACAAAAATGAAAATGAAAGCATAATCATGCCGTTGTGATAGGCTATAATAATTAATATAGGCATGCCACCTAGCCCATAAGTTTTTGATTTATAAGGATTCATTTTGTGATAGGCCTAAGAGCAAGTCCAGCAAACTTTGGTTGGTTGCATTTTTTTTGCTATATTTTTAAAAAATTGGATATGATGTAGAGTAACCATAGATAAATCAAAAGAATAAGTGCAACATTTTTTTTTTCATACGTAAGTGGGGCCTTTTCAAAATGGCCGCCATTTTTTCCTAAAATGTTCACTAATACTGTAAGTTTATGTCATTAAAATGCAGTATTCAATTGGAAATTCACTCATAACAATGACAACAACAGTTAACTAAATATTGTACACATTTTTGAGCTATTACAATTTAAAATGGCTGCCATTTTCCATTATTTTAGCTTTTTAGCATACATATTAATATAATAATAACCGATCTGTACTGTAAAACGAAAACGTGTGATAGAGCTAGATATATGCAATTGCCATATGCTGTTAATGGTTATTACCATAATATATTTGTGATATATATATATATATACATATATAAATAAATAAATAAATATATATGTGTTTTTGTATATATATATATATGTATATGTGTATATATATATATGTGTATATATATACATATGTAAAATATATATATATATTGAAAGCATACTGAAATAAACAACAATCAGCAATAGCTTGATATCAGTATATATATATATATAAATATATATATATA